GTGAGGTAGGTATTGCTATTCCCATTTTAAAAATGGGAAAACTGAAGCTAAGAGAGGTTAAGAACTTGTTCAACATCACTGATGGAGTTCGGATGTACTGTCCTCCCCGAACTCATGTGGAAATCTGATCCCCAATGTTACAGCAACACAAAACAGATTAATACAGTCACATACTAGTAAGCGGCAGAACCAGGATTTGAACACAGGGCCATGTAAATCTAGGGACCTCACTCTCTCCCAAGCAGCCTCCCCACATGAGAAAGGGTAGAACAGAATTTGAGCTATTTATTAGTTGGTGAAGAGAAATGATAGCCCTTTCAACTCTACAAGGGGCTATGAGTAGAAGCGTTCTGCCTGGCTTCAGAGGAGAAAATCTGAATGACTTTAGAAGTTTCAGGGATGTAGATTCTTAGCTCAACAGAAGAACATTTAGCGATTACAACACCTGGCTGGACTCTTGGGTAGGGCGATGAGTTCCTCAGGCCTGGAGCTATTCAACCATGGTCTGGAAAGGCTTCGGCTTCCAGTGGGGATGAGATCTGGACAGAGAACCTTGAAGTTCACTTTTGAACCTTAGGTTCCATGAGCCAATGTGCTGCCTGGCAGAAACTGATCAATCCTTTCAAGAGAAATGATGAAAATACCTGTTGACATGTCCACTTGCAGATAAAAAAGCAAAAATTATATGCCAAAGGTAAACACATTTGTCCATGAGAAAACTAAACACAGAAAACGAAATGGATTCTGCTGGAAATGCTTACAAGTTTTAAAGTTTTTCTTTCCTGCAAAGAAGACACCAAACTCTGGAGAGATGTGCAGTCTCAGTGGTAGTCAAAGAAAATATGAAGTACTATTTGTCACCTACTAAGTTGGCAAAATAATTTAAAAAGTTGTCACATCCAGGGCCGGCCCGGTGGCGCACTGCTACAGTGCGCCGCTTGGGAAGCGCGGTGGCGCTCCCGCCAAGGGTTCGGATCCCACATACAGACCGGCCGCTCACTGGCTGAGCAAGGGGCGGGGGCAACACCGAGGGTTGCGATCCCGTGGCCGGTCCCGGTCCGGTACGGGCGCGACACTGAGGGTTGCGATCCGTTGCCGGTCACGAAAAAAAGACAAAAAGGAAAAAAATAAATAAATAAATAAATAAATAAAAAGTTGTCACATCCATTAAATGTATTAAGAGTGATGGAAATGTCATCCTTTTGACACAGGTGAGACCACCCTAAGAGAACAATGGAAAATATAAATGGAAAACACTGTGCAACATAAAAATCTTCATCTGAGTTATTTATAAACAATCTACAAATGCAAGGAAGGGCAAACAGCCAGCTGGGTGGCAGGGGGTGGGGGCTGAGGTTGGTGAGGGGAGCTGGGGAATTGAGCCTAGTCAGCATGCACGGGGGAGGCCCCCAAGTACCAAGAACTGTGGGTTAAGCACAAGACATCCAGAGTCAAAGTGTGAAAGCCAAGGTCACTGTGTGAGATGTCAGTATGGGATAGGGCATAGGATAGGGCAGGATAGGAGCACATTCAGGTGAGGAATGAACAGGTGTGGGGAGAGGAGAGAAGAGGAATCCCAACATTAACACTGACGGCATTTAGCCACTCTGGCTGGGGAACTTTAATTACATTCTCAGTCCTCCTAACGACCCCACAACTAAACATTATTTCCTCCATTTTGCGGGTGAAGAAGCTGGTGTTAGGATGAGGTAACTTGCCTCACGTGGGGTAGTAAGTGCTAGAACTGGGAACTGCATTTGAATGCATCCACCTCGCTCAGGCTCACTCTACCACCGCGCTGGATGGAAGCGAGCAGCGAGGCTCTCCATGCACTGGCAGACCCGTGGGTTAGCCCCACTGGAAGGGCCTGCACGGCTAACCAGATGGCTTACTCAACTGTAGCTTTCTGTAGCTTTGTGGATGTTAGAACTGATGGGTTTGAATTTCATGGAGCAACAGGGAAACGTTAAATAAAAAGAGAAGGATACAACCCTGATCATATGCTAATATCATAGGTATGTATAATACGTATTCACACCCTTGAAAAAAGACCAGATGAGATACATTGCAATGTGAAAGCAGTGCAATTTGGAAGGTTTTCCCTACTTTTCCAAAAAATTCTATAAAGTAGTTTTCATTTCTTTATAATTACAAGAATGAATCATAATTTAGAAATGCATATAAAAAACACACAGGCACCTAACAGTCACCAACACACTTTCCTCAGCTAGAAAATAAAAACAAGCCCCATCTTTCTGTTTCATCTGGTAACAGAATTTGTTGCCAGGGCTTGTGAAGACAGCACCTAAACCTCATCAATTGAGTTTCTGCCAATTCAGTATTGACCATCCTGTCTTATATGACTCACTGGCCTGTCCCAGGAATCAAAAAGAATCTAAGTGTAAAAGTAAGGGAAAAATCATTGGCACCTAGACAGAAAGTCACCTTCTGCATCATATCCAACTGAATATTGGGTGAACATGACTCATGAGAGGAAGTCTAAATAAGATTTTAGGACAGATCCTCAGTTATTTAAGAAGAAATTTGTTCTCAATTGCAATATCTCCCGGCACTTTAGGAGGACTACCAGTTTTTTGTTTGCTTGTTTGTATTTTTACTTAGGAAATACTCATTCTTTCATTAAAACAGGTCTTCTAATGGCTTCCACTAAACTGGTATTTTTCAAAAGTAGCACTTGTTTTATACACGTTCCCAGCCTTAATCCAGACCTACTGAATCAGGCTCCCCAAGCCGAAGCCCAGGAATCTATATTTTAGGTAACTCAGCAAATTCTTAAGATTGGATAAGTTTGGGAAAGACTGTACTACATAAAATGAATTTGAGTTTTGTTTATGTATTTGCATGTAATAAAACTATGAATGCTTATAAGCAGTACTATTATTCCCAGTCCCTCCAAATGGCCTGAATTAATAAGACCAATTTCCATTTACTAATTACTTAGGTTGGATCTCCCCTAAACACACACGGCTAGATTCTCAGCTCAGATCATAATTTTCCCCTCATCTTTCGGGAAGAGGTAAAGGACAAGTTTGGTACAGACCTGGATTCTGATCCAGCTCCTTGGCCTGACAGCTCCAGGACCTTGGGAAAGAAATCATTTAAACTTTTCTGAGCCCATTTCCTCATATGCATGGGTGTAAGAATGATGTCCTTGCACTCATATTGCAATGGGACACCAGGTACACAACAGGGGCTCAAAATCATGTCAGTCGCCCTAGAAACCTCCCAATTCTCCATAGAATTGGCTCTTAATAGCATGCTTCCTTTCTGCATCCACTTCTGATTTCATTCTGCCTTACATGCTAACGTCTGCATGGATCTTCATCACTTACAGAGCCCTTTTCCCAGATATTATCTGGATTACTCTCCACAACAACCCTGAGTTAGGGATCATTATCTCCACCTTAGAAGAAATGAGACCCAGAGGTCAAGCGACCTGCCTGCAAGTGGTAAAGCCAGGATTTGAACCCACATTCTACAGTCTTTCACAGCCCTTTTCTGTCTCTAACAGAAGCATCATACATTACACATACGTCACATATGTCATAGCATTTTTATTAGATATTTTCACAGCCATTTCCCCCACTAACAACTAAAAGCATCTATAAAGCAGGTATCATGTTGTATTAGTCTTCAAAGGGAAATGCATCTTTGTATTCGTATTTGTATCTGGGTATTTGTATCTTCGCTATGCTGAGGGAGAAAAGGAGATGAGCTCAACAATGACGCACACTTTTTTCCAGTCTCTCATGCATTCCGCACTACTCATGCCCCGGTTGCCCCATGACATTCAAATGGACATACTTCAACCATGAGAATTTATTGAACATCTACTAAGTGTCAGGAACTTTACTTGCCTCATGAAATGAGTTAACCTATGTCACTCACTTAGAAAAGTCCTGGCACATGTTAAGTATCTGTTATTATTATCATTTACTTATCCACATAGCCTGTGAGGCAGGCATTATTTTCCTCACTATGCTGATAAGGATTCTGAGAGTTAAGTGGTTGGTCCAAGATCACACTGCTAGCTTGCGGAGAACGAGGAAAATACCATAAAGGGAAATTCACATCTAGCAAGCATACATTCACGTTACCTAGGTTTGTTTACAAAAGTTCTCAAAGTGGCAGCCACCTCCCCTACTTACCCCGGTGACCCTCAGCTTTTGCTTACAGACCACCAATTGATGAATAAAGCATTAGAGAAACCACAGACCAAAGTTTTCCAGTGAATGGCTAAAAGCTGATAATCAAAAATGAAGGGAATAACAACTGCCGACGTTTACTGAGCACTTTACATATATGTTATCTCTAATCCTTACAGCAACTCTGCAAGTTAGGTATTATTTCTTTTAAGGAATAGAAAATGGAAACTCAGAGAGGTTTGATTAAGCCACAAACAAGCAGGGAGCCGGCCTTGGAACCTAGAAGCATCGGCCCAAAGCCCTGGTCCTTCCCAACACACCATCTTACTTCACATGCGCTACGGAAAGGAAAGTACATGTCAGCAGGAAGCTCAAACGTGTGCAGAAGGTGTGTCGGGCCCTTCAGAAACTCAGTAACTGAATAAGGAATGAGATGAATTATGTAACTTGAAAGATGGTTTGAGATACAAGACGGGATGAACAAACTGACACCAGGTGACATTGTCCCTACTTCCTGAACGTAACCCTGTACCACATCTAACATTATCACCCCTCTACACCCCTTTACAAAGATTGATTCAAATTATCACAAAAGCTGAATCTCAGATTGAGTGTGAAACGCGACTGGTTTAAGATATGGACTTTGAAGTCAGAGAAAGTAATCAGCTTTGGAGACAGCCCTTCAGACCCGCAGACAGCAGCCACATTCCCTACCTCTCCTTCAGCTTGAATGTTCCTCCCCTGAAAGAAAGATCATTCCAGGCAGCACGACACATGGCTCACTTCCACTGTACACGTAATATTCTAAACAAATGAGGATAATGATTGTCTACATCAAAGAATTAATGAAGCTTTATTGCAGAACAAAATAGACAAACAGAGATAGAAGTCCTTGCGTGGTAAAAATATCAGTTCCAATCCTGGTCAAGTGACAGACAGTGCAGAGACACTCTGTCCCCCTCTGAAAAGAGTGCTTTCCCCATCCCCACAATGACGCCAGCAACAGGTGCTGCCTGAGTCTCAGCAAATCCATCTGCCTTCCTTGGAGTAGGAGTCCAAGTTCGGAGCAAGCCGCTGACCCCAGAACCCTGCCGGCTCCCTGCTCACACACCCCACGCACGGTGGGGTCTGATTTGGATGGCACCATCACCCGCAAGTCACACGCCACACAAGAAAAACACAAAGGCTTTATGAAAAATCCAAAGTTTATTGCAAATTGTATTTTGCTTCCCTTCGTTCTTCATTTTTACAGGATTTATTGATATCCATGATTTTTTCACAGATGTACTTGTTGACTTTGGAGAGTCTCTGTGCAATTTCAGTTTCATCCACAGTTTCTTGTGCTATTCTGTCATACAAACACTCTAGACAGGGAGAAGAAACAAGAAGGCCAAGGATTAATGGTGAATTTGAGTACAAATCCTTTAAAGGGGGAAATGTGCCTCCTGACATACTTCCAAAATACCCATTCACATATCTGGCATAGCTATATTTTAAAATTTGCATCATAAAATGTATTCAGAAAAGAGTAGATATACACTGTAAATTTACACTTTTAAAATAATGATGAAACACAAATGTGTCCACCAGTTTAACAGGACATTACTTGTCCCTCTGAAATCCCTGGACACCCCTCCCTAATCCTCTCCTCCCCTCCCCTCTCCCTTTCCAGAGGTAGCCACTCTCCTGAATTTCTGCTTTTCCTTTCTTTTAGAGTTAAGATATATACATATATCCCTAAATACCATATTGCTTATTTTTCCTATTTTAGTCTTTTTACGGATGTGCCCACACTCTATATATCCTTCTGACTTGCTTTTTTTCACTCAATGTTAGTTTTGAGATTTAGCCATGAAGTATACAGCTAGCTATATATGTCATTCATTTTCACTGATGAGTGGCATTCTATTGTATGACTGTACCACAATTTGGTTATCCATTTTATTGTCGATGAATACTTGGTTTTGCAATTACAAACACCCTGGCACATGTCTCTGGGGTACACATGCAGGAAGTTCTCCAGCATCAGCCTAGGTGTGGAGTTTCTGAATGTTAAGGTATGTGCATATTCAACCTTACTAGGTGATGCCTGGCAAATTGTTTTCCAAAGTGATTGTGCTCACTGGCACTCCTAACAGTACTGTATGCAAGTACCCGTTGCCCTATATCTTCCCCAGCTCTTGACACTCACATTATTAAGGTTTTGACAACCTGGTGAGTGTGAAGTGGTATCTCATTGTGGTGATTACTAATGAGGCTGAGGACGGCCACTTTCTCACTGAATCTACCGTTTGCTGTGATGAAGCAAAGAGCCTACCCCAGACGGGCCTGGCTGAAGCCTGACTTCTGCTGACCTCCCAGCCTGGGGATCTGGTGCAAATCACTGCCCTAGATTCCTCACCTCATAAATGAGGATAATAAGCCACAGACTATCTTTTTTAGGGCTGGCACAACTGTTAATTCCCATGGCCTAGCATAGTGCTTGGCACAGGGGCAAGATTATGTAACTATATGTTGAATAAATGAATGAATGAATGAATGAATGTTTTTCCAGGGAAATCTGAGAGGAGAGGACACAAATCTGGACATAAGAGGACAAGGGTATGGGTGGGGTGTGTAATTGAGGGCAAAAACTAATTTCTTTGAGCTGGAGTTTCCTCATCTATAAAACAGGAATGACAGTTCATTCTCAAGAAACTGCTATGGAGAATAAGCAATTATTAGAAGGGATCATAAAGACTAACCTTTGCTAACCCATCCACTCACAGATGACGAGACTGAGGCCCAGAGAGAGAGGAAAGTGTGGGGCAGAATCCATTGCTGTCTCCCACGCTCTGAGCTCATCCTGGGCATGGAGCCTGCCTGCCTCCAGTTGCCTTCCACGCTGCAGGTGCCTGTGCTATATGCATTCTTTCTCTAGAGTACCCTTCATTCCCCACCAGAAGGGTTTTGCCCAGAGATGCCATTAAAAGATTTTGATTGACCTCCACTGATTCCTGATTACTCCCAAGCCTGGCTAATCCTCGCCTCATCTTGTTTTGGCCTTTCCATAAGGAATGAGAGACAGGAAGGTAGGGGGCTCTATCTCTCTAGCCCCACCTCTGCTATATCCACCTGCAAGTCCCACTGCATTCCAACTATCCCACAAATCAGTGTCTTTGCTCATCTCTGCCCAGAACACCCTGGCCCCACCCTTCACTTGCCTAAGTCCTACTCATTCTTCTGAATTCATCCTGCTTGGAACCTACCAGAGTGAGTTAGGAGATCCCACCCTACGTACAACTCTGTGCTCCCACACCTGTCTGGGTTTTTCTCTGCCAAAGCATTAATCACAATCTAATAAAACTGTAACCACATTGTCTCCCCAACAGATTGGGACACTTGGGCATTCCCTCTCCAGCCCTGGGCCAGGAGAAAGCAAACATGCACCATGACTTTGCTGGAAACTGAACCAAATGAGGGAGACAGCCTATGCTGAGGACTATGTAGAACTTTAGGTGCTCAAATCTGACTCTTGGTGCTGTGCAAACCCTAGTGGGAACTTCTCTGGGTCTAAGTTTCACTGTCTATGAAAGTAAGATGTTAAACTAGATAATCTAAGGAGATTCTTCCAGCTCGAAGTCCCTAGTTGTCTGCAAGGTAATAAGGGCAGGCAAAGAGGCAAAGGAAAGAGAAGCAGAAGGCAGGAGAATAGTTTTGATGGCCCTTAGAGCCCCGAGCCTGAGTCAGAGAAGAGGCAGAAAGAGAAAGGTGCAAACAGAGGAAGGTTCCAGAGGGGCATCCACAGCATTCCAATCATTCCCATTTCCTGGGGGTAATACACTGAATGGCCCATCCAGTTGATTAAAAGGCTTTCCTTAGATTCTAGGTATTAATCACCTGCAGTTGCCAGGAATGTCTCCCTCTGCGAGGGAGCATTTGAGATTATTGCTTAATTAACAAGGTTTATAACAGTGCTAATGTGTCCTATTAAAAAAGTTATAAAAATTAACCAGAACGCAATGCTCTGGCTCGTTTAGAAAACGCAAACACTCTGCACATTTGACCTTAATAAGGTTTAACTGTCATTCTGGAGCTTGTCATTGGAGCAAGACTCTGCTCCTGTCCTCCTGCTTTCATCTTTCTAAAGCAGTGTCAATGTTCGTCTCACTCTTCTGCTATCCAATAAGGAATGATTTTTAAAATCAAAGAGAAGAGGAAATCCCTGCCAACCCTGTGAGAATAAAGGCTTTTTCCATTTTTCTACAGCAAATGTGACTAAATGTGATAAAATCATACAAAATAAATACAAACAATCTCAATCCAGCAGGCAGCTTGCATGGGAGAACCAGCCAAATGCAATCTGGAATAGCTCAAATAATTAAACTAAAAATGGTGATTGTGTGGTGGGATGGGAGACAGATTTCAAACCTGCCTGTAGTACAAATAATGATAATAATAATAATCAACATTGCATTTTAGTAAGACAAGAAACCTCTGGCGACAACAGGAGCCTGAACCTCCAGTTCAGCTTGGTTCTGTCTTTAACAGTTTGCATGGCCTTGGTAAGTCAATTTCCTTCTCATTCACTTACATGGCAAGCATATATTAGGCTCTAAGAGGGTGCTAGACAAGGCTTCTAGGAGGCAAAGATACAGTAAGAAGGGAACTGGGGAAGACACTGGGTGCTTTGTGACATTTGAAAGAGGCACTTATCCACACTAAGAGGTCAGGGACAGCCTCCTGAGGAAAGGTTCACCTAAGCAGATCTGGGTGGAGAGTAGCAGTTAGCCAGGCAAAGCAGCACAGGTGGATGGTGAGTAATGTTACCTGTGTTCCAGGCACTGAAAATAGTATTTGCAAATTCTCCAAGGTGAGATGGAACAAGGCTTCTTCATGGAAAACAGTAGTTCATTATGGTAATAACTTAGAGTTCAAGGGGAATATTGCTGAAAAATAAATCTGAGATATAGCCAGGGGCCAGATTAGGAGTTAGGAAGGTGCTTTTATGACATGTTAAGAAGCTTAATAGTGAACACTATTAACCAGCTGTGACTGGGGAAGGTGGTAAAGGAATCACATCTGGTTTCTGAAAGATCACTCTGGTTATGACATAATGGAGAGAGGAGACTGGAAGCCACTGGAGTAATGAAGGGAAGAAACGTTGTGGCCCGGACTATGAGAGGGGCAATGAGTTGAAGAGAAGCAGATGGTTTAAGAGGTATCTGGGGACAGAACAGATGGGTACTGAAGCATGTGGATGAGTCAAGGGTGAGGCTTGGGTCCCTGGCTGGTAGTAACATTTACCAAGACAGAAGACACAGAAGAGGCAGAAGCCTTCATGGAGAAGGAGAAAAAGGAGAGAGCAGGAGGAAGTGCCATTTTGCCAAGGTCATGTGGGCACCTGGATACATGGATCAGCAACTCAGAAGTGTGAATTGAGGTCAAACACAGATTTGGAAATCACCATTCATTGATTCAACAAATATTTATTGAGCATTCACTATATGCTAGCTCTGAATGAGATGCTCATAAAGTTTATATTCTAATGAGGGTGTGAGGAGAAAGAAAATTATCAAGTAAAGAAATAAATAAGAGATGCTAGGCAGGGACTTTTAACATGTGATGTGATAGAGAGCAATGGAGAGGCTGCTTTAGATGGGGCAGCTGGGAGGCTTTTCTGAACGACAGGGAGGCAGGGGGTGCAGGCCAGGAGGAAGGGCACTGATGGCCGTGAGCACAGGAAGGAGGTGGAGAAGGCCTCTGTGGCTACAGCATGGTGGGAAGTGGCAACTACAGTGCGAGATGAGGACAGAGCGGTCACCAGAAGCCAGATACCAGGCAGTGGTCAGGGTGAGGAGTGGGGATTTATCCAGAGCCATGAGCACACGGAAGGCAATGGGATCAATGAGAAGTGAGATCAGCTGAGGAAAGTGTGGTAGGATGAGAGAAGAGAGCTGGAGACAGAGGAGAGGGCACAGGAAGAGAAGCCCACGAAGGAGACTGAGAAGCTAGAGAGGTGGGAAGAAATCGTGAGCCTGCAGGATGGGTTTCTCAGTAAAGAAGGAATGGCCCTGCCAAGCGGTGCTGGTGAGGAGGTGAGAAATGAGCCCTGGATTTAGAAATGAGGAAGTCACTGGGGACCTCGTGAAAATGGAGTAAGTAGAGGCTGGGGGTGGAAGGCAAACGGCAGGGGCATTACGAGTGAGCACAGGCAGTGAGTGCACACCTGCCTGGGTGTGCAAGGAAGACAGACGTGGCGGCAGCTGGGGGACGGAAGCGGCTCTTTTGTAAGAAATGAGTAATCAAAGTATATTTAAATGATGCTGGAAAGCAACCAATATAGCGGGAGCATAATTGGAGAAACAAGGTACTCAGGAAGGCAGGTGGACTGGGATCCAGAGCCCAGACAGAATCACCAGCCCCAAATGAGAGAAGGAAACTTCTTTTGGGACATGAGGCAGATTGAGGTGATACAGCTAAGTCTGTAGGTATGTGGTTTGAAGCTGCAAAAATTCCTTTAGTTTTCTCTGTGAAGGAAGAGTCAAGTACATCTTTTGAGGAAAGATGTTTGGAAAAAGTAAAGAACATTAAAAAGGACTTGGAAAATGAGACAATGGATCAGGGAGAGGAACTCAGAGGACTTGGCAGGTGGTGCTAAGTCCCAGCTGGGGTTGAAGATAGTGAGCCTGAAAGGACCCCCAAGTCACAAAGCTGAGGTGGATTCTTCCAGATTGTTTTACCTCTACAAGGCAGTCCTGACCATCTTAAGGGGTAGGTTTTCAACTGAGGAAACAGACATGGAAGGAAAGTGATTTACAAGAAATCACACCAAGGGTCTGTCAGGGTCTCAGTGTTTCTTCTGCTGAACCTTCATTTACTGAGCTCCTACTGTGTGCCAGGCAATGAGGATGTGGCGATTAATCAGATACAATACTGGGTCCCCGAGGCAGACACACAGCAGATGATTTTATAACACACAACAATGGTAGGGACAGCCAGTTATCAGAAGGTCCCTGGAACCTGCTCAGTCACGTTCCAACAAGTGTAGCAGAATTAGAGGTCGCCCACCTATCAGGCGGGGCAGGGCTGCAGCCCCAGGAGGGCATCCGTCTCAGGGCGACCTCTCAAATCAGGCTTCACTATTTCAGACAGGAGACAGACAAAAGGTTACCTATGATTATCTAAAAATAAGTGGCTGCCTAAATCAATTAATCATAAGCCAGCCAGGGAGGCAGCTGCATTACAGAAGAATGAGTCCCAGACCAGAGTCATGGGGAGTGGGTTTGAATCCAGACTCTGAAACCTTGTAGCTGTGACCTCAGGCTGGTCACTTAGTCTCTCTGTGTCCTGCTGCCTTGACCTCCAAAATATACCCTGAATCTGGCCACTTTTCTCCACTCCCACTGCTCTGCCCTTCGTCTATGGCAGCATTACCTCTCCCCGAGAGCTCTCATCCAACCTTTCGACCGATCCCTCATGTGGCCACTCACAATTAAAGACCTCCATTGCCTTTCTACTGCAAGTAAACCCAGGCTGCTGACTGTCGCCTTCACGGCCCCACAAGACTGGCTCTCGTCCACCTCCCTGACCTCAGTCTCCCCTCACTCTTGACTCCCCAGCCACCCAGGGCTTCTTCACCCCTTAAGCATGCTGGCCTTTGCACCTGCAATTTATTCTGCCTGATTCACCACCCCTCAGACTTCCTCAGTGCTGCCTCTTCCACACCCACCTTTCAGCTCAACTGTCACCTCCTCAAACAGACATTCTCCAACCACCCCAGCCAACATAGCCCTCATTGCGCTACTGTATCACATAATGAAGCTCATAGTACCTGAAATTACCTGACTTGCTCACGGACATACTGTCTACCCCCCAGAGACTGGCACGGGGCCTGCTCAAAATACACATGTCAACTGACTTGAGTCCTGCTTTCTTCATCAAAACAGGGCAGAGCTGGACACTTAGGGAAGGGTGGTTAGGAGCACAGACTCTGATGCTAGGCCTGCTGGCCTGGACTCCTGGCTCTCCTCCCACTAGCTGTGTGACTTGAGCAAGTTACCTAACATCTCTGTGTCTCAAGTTTCCTCATCTGTAAAACAGGGAGAATAATAGTAGCCAAGGATAATGAGTAGCCAAGGATAATGACTGTTTGAGGATAATGAGTTAATATTCAAAAAATGCTTTTTAAAACAGCCATAAAAAAAACAGAACCTGAAACACAGTAAGTGCTTGAAATAATTAGCAATTACTGTATTCTCTCTGCTCCCTCTATTCCACTGTCTGTCTTTATAATTTGTATTTTCCATACAGTAACTAGCTGTTCTCATGTTCATCTTCCCTATGAGACTGTCAGCTCCTTGCAGAAGGAGCCTGCCTTATCCCTCAATGTGTCCTTCAACACCCAGTGGATAAGAGCTTAGTGAACGGATGGAGAGAGGACAGAAGAGAGGGAAGAGAGAAAGAAGAAAGTGGGAAGAGAGCAGGAGGTGAGGAGGGAAGGGAGGAAGGAAGGAGGAAAGGAAGGGAGGCAGGGTGAAGGGGAGGCGGCCAGGCAGGCAAATCAAGGCGTCCAGAACATTGCCATATCTTCAGGGAGACACATGACTTCCCATCTCTTTGCCTGCCCTCTGACCTCTCCCAAACGCTAGAAAGGAAGCTGAGTCCAGAGACTGCCAGCTGGTCTCCATCTCTCTCACTGCTCCAGGCACAATGCTAGCACCACCCAGAACTGCAGGCCCGGCCTCCACTGCCATCTGCACAGCAGTGCTCCCTTCCCATCTCCACGCCTCTGTTCAAGCGCTCCTGCACCTTGGAGTATCTCTCACACATTTGTGTCTCCATGTCAGACACACCCTTCAAGGTCCAATTCAGCGACCCCTTACCCCAGGAATTCTTCCTTGGTTTTCCAGCTAAGAGCATCCTCCCCTCCTGGGCACTCCCTTTGCTGGTCACCTGTCCCTCTCTCATGCTAATTCCTTGCAATGTACTTGTGTGCACAGCTCATTTGCCCTGTTAAATGTGAGCTCTTCTGGGACCTCTGGGATATCTGTTCCTGTGTCTCTGTGCCCAGTTCAGGGCCTGGCATGCAGAGGCTTTGGTAAGTGTTGAGTTGTGCTTCATATATCCTTGACAGCATAAAGGATGGGATCTCAGCCCTGTGTTTACACTCAGCGACCTACCTCTGACGATGCTTAGTTTGTGAGGCGAGAGGGGTGGCTTAGGGATTGCATCCTTCTTTTTTTTTGTGGCGACTCCTGTGACACTTCTGTTTTTCAGAACATCTGTTCCCCAAATCATGACTGCCAAGTTCTTCGTGTACTTGGAATCTCCTTGGGTTACTTGTAGCTGGTGCCATTTCTCCTCATCAACCCAAATCCCGCTTCCCAGATGGACCTGAAAGGGGTAAGAATACCAGCACCTGTTCAGTCCAACATCAGGGCAGCTGGAGGCTTCTCTTGTCCTTTAAAAAGCATTGCTGCACAACTGTAAGATATTTATCCCATAAATACTAAATTAACTCTCTTTAAGGGTAATAATGGTTACCACTTACTGAATACCTGTAACGTGCCAGGTCTTATTCTAGTGCTTTATGTTCACTATCTCAAATCTTCATGGCAACCCTGGACAGAAGGTCTTATGACACCATTTTCATTTCAGATGGAAAAACCAGGTTCAGAAAGGTGAGGTGACTTGCTGAAGGTCACTATCAAGTGGCAGAGCTGGGATTCTAAACTATACTCATCTCATCACAACGCTGCTCAGAGCCTGACCAAATCTCAGGACATGTTGCTTAACTCCTTTCTGTGTTATACTAAAAAAGGACCTATCTCCCTTTCATGTGAACATTCCGGAACACACATCCTCCTAGCATGGTGGTTCCCAACTTCAGCTGCACACAGGGGTCACCTGGAGAGCTGTAAATATTGCTGGTGTCTGGGCCTCACTCCCAGAGATTCTCATTTATTTGGTCTTGGTGCGTCCTAGGAGTCAGAATGGTTTAAAATGCCCTAGATAATTCCAATGTACACCTGAGTTTGAAAATGCCTGCCAGCTGGAGTAAAGAGAGCAGCTGCCCAGGCTGTGCAAGTCCTGCCCGTCTCTGGGCTTCAGTTTCCCTGTCTATGAAGTGGGAGAGCTGGATTTCAGCTCAAAGTTCGTCTGGCTCAGAACACCCATGATTTTAACAAATTGAACACAACCACAATGTACCCAGTTTGATTCTGACAGCACATATGAGGATACTCAAAACTTTTGTGGGAAGATTCATATCATCTTTTAGTTCTATTTTGCCACGAACTTTTTGAAGTACCCTTGTAGAACAGAACACAATCTTATTCTCCCTATGAGGGAAGCAGCCAGAAAATTTCAGTGCAGAGCCAATAAATGCAAAAGACCCGGAATGACCTAGCAATAAGCTACAGGCTTTTAAATTTGCTCTCTTTTCTGGCTCTTTTAACAACTTGCAAAACATTTACTAATATTAGTCATTAAAAATATTAGTTTTGACTTTGCTGTTGCCATTTATGTTGTGCTTCTGCTGAGTCTATGAAGGGAAGAAACAGCCTCTGTGGGGATGGAGGGGAGGCAGCTGCTACTGAGCTAAACTTGCTAAAAGGCATGAGAAAACTGCCAGAAGTCCTTGTTTTCAGAAGGACCTGCAGGCCATCAATATTGCATGGTCAGGAGACATCTTGGGAGAGGTCCTGGTCTGAGAGACTGCACACACACCCAAACTGACAGCAGACTAGCAAGACCGATGGCTCAGAAGTGATTAGATCTTTCTACTGAAACTTGGCTTGGGAAGGAAGGTGGGCACACACAGATGGGCAGACAGGTCAGCCAGCAACACTTCTTCCTTTACCAATTACTGAGGTTTTCCAACCATCAAAAAGAAAAAATAAATAGCAACACAGCCCACCCAGGAACATTAGTAAGTAAACAATCTAAATCTACCTGCCATATCAGACTTCACTTCCTTTTGCTCAAAAGATCATTCAGACCGCTGCAGACAATCAGATAACTAGAACCATCTGGCCTCTCTGTGCTGCTGACTTCAACATTGCAAATCTGTTCATACAGCTCAGGACAGATAAGCAATGGTAGAGTGAGATGTGCTGCCTAGGGCTGGCTAAACACCGACCCCAAGGTCAAATCTGGCCTTTTCTCTCCAGTTCAAACTGTAGATGGGCAGTCTGTGTGCCCAGATCAGACATGCTGAGGACAAGTTTCTTGCTGCTTCCTGCTGGACTCTGCGTCACCTCCCTTGATGACACTCTGGAGCCATCCACACAAGCCTCCGGAGATAGGTGAAAAGCTAGGAACTTTGAATTAGATTAAATTCTGAATCAGAAAACCTTAGTAATGGGAGACAACTTCAGTATTTCAAAGATCTCTGATCATTTCTACCCTGGGCCTTGCTTTCCTATAATCTTTTAATTTATTATTCTTAAAACAGAGATGACAGTCATTTTAGCCAATGTTCTACAAGAGAAAGAGGACACCAATATTCAATACTCTCTACAACCCACCCTATAAACACAATTTTCCTTCTTAGACTAGATGAATTCTGCAGACTTTCAGACCTAACACATCAGTGTTCAGTCAGTTTTCCTTTTGAGTTTTCCTCTGCACCTGCCGGCCACTTCCTGTGACAGCCCCCAGTGCAGGTCACGACAGCAGACAGGGAAACCAGGAAAAAAGACATGTTCTGGCCTTCCTGCCTCCAGTCCTTGCTCTATACAACCCACCCTGTAAACACCGTTTTCCTTCTTAGGCTAAATGAATTCTGCAGTCTTTCACCTCTGTGTTTTTATGTCAACCCTCTGGAATTTTGAGTGGCCTCGTTTCCTGTTACATCAAATCCAATATCTTCAGTCTGGCTTAGGGGCCTACTAGAATCCCATCTCCATTCTATCCACCAACCTTTATTTCCCTACCATGTCCATCGCTCTCTGAAGCTCCTGAACTCATTCATTTCCTTCTCCTTCCAGTGTGCTGTGACAGATTAGAAGGTGGGCTCTGGAGCCACCAGTCCTGGGTGTGAGGCCTGGCTCTTGTACCTACTAGCCGGTTAACTAGGGCCAGTCACTTCTCAAAGCTTTACTTTTCTCAGCTGCACAATAAGCAGATCATTACGTAACTCATAGAGTTCTTTTGAGGATTAAATAGCATAAGATGGGCAACATGTCAGGACAGCACAAATCCAGTAACTGTTATATCCTTTGCCTTCTTTCCCCTACCCATGGCTCCACTCATGCCATTCCCCTGTCCAGGAATGAATGCCTTCCCTCATGTCTTCTTAAGCCTGCTAATCTTTCAAGCCCCAGTCTAAAATCCAGGAAACACTCTTAACTACTCCAGGGCTAAGTTTTTATCCCTTCTGAATTTCTAGCCCATTTAGAGCCTTTACCACCTGATTCAGCCCTTCACAGTACGTCTCAGTGGGGAGGGATTCCCTACAAAGTGATCAAGACTAGTCTGAACCAAAAAAGTGATAAACCGATGAGCATATTTAATATGTCTTAATGGCACTGGTTTTCAGTTCTGATAAGCTGAAGTTCCTTAGCAAGGAAAGTATTTTCTGACATTCACTTGAGTACAAGACCAACTTTACAGAACAAAAAGAAATGGCCCTGGGTAAGACCAATCACAGGTACATGCTGGGGCATTTGAGACAAGGGATCCTGAGGTCAGCAATGCTCAGGGTAACCTGGAGCAATGTGCAGCTTTCAGGGTGTAGCAGAATGTGTTTCTCCATCCATCTAAGTATAAATTAGACTATTTAAATGTTAATGGTCTTTGCAGCTTTATGATTCAATGAGTTTTTGAAACAAAACATCTTAGACAAAGCAAAGCAATACACTTTATCAGAATCAGTAACTTGTGTGGCAAGCCCTAGTCACATAAACCACAGTACACTATTTGACCAAAATGTGTCAAGGGAGGTTATTAAAAATGTAGCATCTGGTAAGATGGAACTAGATCAAAATATATCTTTTTGAAATATTTTATAGCAAAAAACTCATTTCCTACTAGGAATTGAATCCCACTTTCGTGTTCTAGGCCTTGCAGACATTCAGCTCTCCGTTCATGCAGAGAGGAGGAAGGGTCAGAAAAGACAGCAGAGCCAAGAACAGTGAGGACTACTTCTGGGGTGTGGGAAGTGCTGCTCTGGGAAGCTGCTATCCGCTTTTCTCTCTTCATAAATCTCTCTACCTGACTACAAATTAGTCGCAAACAAAAAGTAGGTTTTATAGCAACATGCTCGCAAAAACCAATGAAAAAACAAAATAGGCATTTTCAAGATTCGTTGTTCAACTTGTGTAAAAAAATTAAATGAGATTTGAGAGACCCATTTTCTGGGGGAAGAATCCTACCATTGCAAAAGAGGCCCCCTATACGACCCAAAAACTGTCCATCAGCCTTCAAAGCAAGGGAGAAATAAATTTCTCTTGGAAGTTACTTTAAGAAAAACTCTAGTTACTCTGTAACGTGGTCATGACAAAAAGGAAATCAACAAACATAGAATAGTTGTCTGGGGAAGGTTCATAAAACTCAGATACATAGTTAGAGTCAAAAAAAAAAAAGGCCTATGGAGAGCATCAATCCAGTCTGACCTTTCACAGATAAGGACACAGGGACCCAGAAGTAAAGGACTTCCCTGAGGTCACACAGAGCTAGTAGAGACACATATAAGAGCTATGCTAAGAACTCAGGCTCCAGGCTGCCTATTTGCACTCCATCCTGCCACCTGTCCTTTGCAAAACTGACTTCTAAAGCCTGTTGAATGAAGCCAGGCAAGGCAGAATGGGACTGTGGGAGACGTAGGGAATGACAGCACCTCCAAGAGAGCCCTGAAGACTAACAGGTTTTATTTCCTTATCTTGACAATATTTGCTTTGGCTCAGGTTGGCCAGTTGCAGGGATATATCTGGACAGACCCAAATAAAACAACCTTTTCTCTTTTATCAACCCACTGGGGAATGATACTAGATAAACAGAGATCTTTCGAAGCATGAGGCAAGAAAAATGAACAGACGCAGATGACTCTTTGGGGAGAATGAGAGGTGATGTCTGTGAAGTGTGCCATGGTGGCACAGAATACGATGCGAAAGCTGGAATTTACCAGTGCCCGGACAAAGGCTCTGATACACTGCTTCGAAGATGAATTCATTTGGATGTCAGAAGGATATCACAACCGTTTGCTCCCCTGCCCTGCTGCTATATCATCGTGTGACATTAAGACTTCCAAAGGCTATTCCATTACTTTTCATCCCTGTATCAATATTATTACTAATAGTGCTTAAGTTTTCTTTCATGATTTGTTTCCAAGGGTCATAAAAGAAAATCTGAAGAGTTATATGTGGCCCTACCACTGCAGAGTGCACAGCTTGAACGTGGTTTAGGAGCAGAGAGCGTGTCTCATTCATCCACCTCCCTGGTATCTAGCTCAGGGCTTGGAACTTACAGATACTTCATAAATGCTGAACGAATATACATTGAGTTGTTATCTGTAAATCAGATATTTCATTTCCAGTTCACCTTAAAATTTTAGGCATCTGGTTTCACAGGAGGGTAGGACAAGTTTCATCAAAGTATCATGGGAATTTTAAAAAAATCTTTCTCACTAATAGCTAAGTCGAAATGTCAGTTTAATTTTACAGTTCCTTTGTCCCAATATTAAAAAAAAAAAAAGAAGAAAAGAAAAAAGAAAAGTCCCAGCAAAACTACACTGATTTTAACAAATAAATTCCAGAAATAGTGACTCAGGGCTAGGCCAGGAGGCCAACCAGCAAGTTGTTTCGGAAAGCTCCCACCATACTCTCCATCTTTACTCTGACTAACAAACACTTGCAGGGAATGGATATTGAGCTTTAAACACTACCTTGCCATTGTCTAGGATATACTTGTCCATGACAGGCGCAGGAGCGGGGTAATAGGACGACGTATTTGCTTCCTCACTGAAAGTGCTCCGTAACTCCGGCTCGGGCTCGAGACATTCTGACTTTACTTTTTCCAAGTCAATGGCGGGACCTAGGCAGTTAAGAAAAGAGATCTGTCTAGAACTCCAAGGAAAATAAAAGGCAAATATTTTTAACTATGCATCTATCAGCACATGGTGGCACAGAAAAAAAAAATGCTAGCTTATTTTTGTCCATTGGACTACACTTACACCCAGACTCAAAAGTAATGTGAGGTATGAATGTCACAAGGGAAAAGGTGGAAAACTGGAAGACAAGGATGGACTAGACTCTAATTAAGTATGAATAAAGAGCACTCTTGCAGGGTGTCATTGTCTAAATGGAAAGGCAGGGGATTCAACTTCCTCCACAGGAAAGAGGTTCTGTTAAGAGGGTTGGAGGAGAAGGGGTGGCAATTACTGCAATATGCAAACTGTGTACAGTACTTGCCAAAAATCCCATTTCCGCAGCCTACAGTGGAGAAGGCCACAGGGGAAGAAGGGAGGTTAGGAAGGCTGTGGGGAGAAATGCACGGGCCTCCCCCTCTCCAAGACCTAGTATCTAGATAGGAGCATTTCAACCAAGAAATTAAAATACAATACAGATTAAGTCCCTGATTGCCTGATCCAGCAGCTACTCTGATTTTTATTTTAATGCAATCAACACAAATTATGTGAGGTTTAAACAGTGAAAGGAAGTTAGATAAATGGTGGTTTCTTACGGGGATTTTTTTTCTCCATTAGCTTCTAAAAACGATGGACTATTTTTTAAAATCACCTATTATGTCTTGATTACCAAAGGGCAGAGAAACAGGATGAAAATGGGTAAATAAGGCCAAATGGCTTGATTAACTTTTGTGGAAGAACAACTTCAAGGGCTAACATTTAGCATGCTGGAAATTCTCTCTATGCAAACATTTCATAAGTTGACTGGGATCAGAGATTCAGCCACTGCCACAGCAGCTTCCCGTGGCTGTGCTTATTACTTAACTAACTGATGAATTCACAGTCAACGTTCTCTTACCCTAACCATATGGACAACTGGGTACAAAGCCTTTATATACTAAAGCCATGTACAACAATTTGGTCACAACTCTATGTTTAGTTTCCACATCCTAGACTTTGGCTGGAGGTAGGGAATATATTGGTGATTTTGTTACTAAAATTCTTCATGAGAGGGCTTCCCAGAATGAGAATGTCAATCCTGGGTTGCTGGCAGCTGCCAACAAGACACAGTCTCTCTACTCTCGGAAGATTTAAGCATGGACTTTGCACAAAGCTGAATACAAGACGGCTGGAAAGCAGAACAGAGCAGATGAAAGAGCTCGCCTCAGCTGGGTAGAGAGATTTCGGGTCCCGTTTCTGGCTCTGCTGTGTTTTAACTGTGTGACCACAGGTGAGTGAACTGCAGATGCAGAAGTCGGCAGAGTGAAGGAATGATGACATCATAATTATTCTGATCGCATCACCTGATAACTAACGCGTGACCTATTCAAGGACCGGGCCTAGGTCTTATTCTCCCCTTTGTCCACGGCACCCGGCACTGAAGAGGTGCTCTCTGAATGTTTGCTAAATGAGTAAAAGAATGACAACAATGAATGAATAATTCTAAAGTTTCAGAAGCAGATGCCAAAGTTTCTCCTCTCAGTGAGGGACTCAGGTTGAATTTCTGAGATACAAACTAACTCAAGTGGAACATTTAGTCTTTTCTCAGATCTGGAAACAGATAATCACTTCAGTTTCCTCTAAGAAGCAAGTGGCTGGGTTGGCATCTGAGGCCACTCCCTGCTCTGACGTTCTGTGACAAGAAAACGGAATGCGCTGAGAGGAACAGGTCCATGTAGCCACTGGTTCACAGGTCATCTTTGGCAAGATAATGTCTCTCCTCTAAGTCTCCTTTTCCTTCCATGAGAGGAGGCTCTTGGATAAGAGAATGAATTCAGCCCAACTATGGCTTCAGTCTGGTTCTCTCCCATCCATCTCTACAATGGCTTCAAAAGAGATCTCCCACATGACCATATCCTTCCTTGCTTAGGCTCCCCATGACCCCCAAAATTAAGTCCTACACCGTCACCTTCTTAAGGCCCAGCACAACCAACCTCTTCTTCCCCTCTAGGGCTCACTTCTTGCTCCCCATCAATACTTACCTCTGTTCAGGTGCCTCAAGCGTTATGTTGTCCCTGGCCTGGGTACTGTTGTCTCAGCCTTGAACGCTACCTCATCTGTCTGCCAACCCCCCAGTCAGACTTCAAGACACAGCTTAGGTGTCTCCTTTGTGAAGCCTTGCTCTGATCACTCCCAGGTAGAGTCTCTACATTGTAAATACTTCCAGCAAATTATGTTTCCAATCATCTGCCTAACCGTTTTCAACATAAGACTGTGAAGCTCTTCAAGAGCAAAGTTTTACTCCCTTTGCAGTCATGGAGTCTAGGGCAGTACCTGGCACATAGCAGGCTCTTAGTAAATTCTTCATGACATGAGAGCGGAAAGAGAGTTGGGCAGGAAAGGAGACTTTAATGAACTGGGACAAAGATTCTGAAATAAAGCCCTGCTGCTGAGTGGGGGTGTTTGGGGCTAGAGGTGTGGGTAGGTGGGAAGCAGTTCTCTCGAATATCTGTAACTTTTCTTGCAGCCCAAGAAGTTAAATAGAAATTAGAAGCATCTAGTCGGAAGAATGGACAATTCGGATGGCTACAGTCGGTAGACAAAGGACTCCACACTGTCTACAGAGGGACATCTAAGGGATATCAGAAGGAGCAAGGGTTGAGAGTCATCCTTCTGGCTCCAGACAGTGTTGGTCCCCTCCCCACAGTCAGATTCATTCTAGGCAAAGTGGCCTGCCTAACCCTCTCCACACATTCGCCATTCTTTCCTGCCTCTTAGTCTTTGCTTGTGCCATTCCCTTTGTCCAAAATATTCTACCCGTACAGATGTCCACCTATCCAAATCCACCAGTGATTCAAGGTTCGACTCAAATGCCACCCCCTCCAAGGGTCTGCCCTGCCCTCTCAAATGGAGGTAAATAATTCTCTCCACCTCTTGGCTTGGGATCTAGAGTCAGAGAAACTGGGCTTTTTTTTTTTTTTTTTGTCTTTTTCTCATGTCCGGCAACGGATCGCAACCCTCAGTGTTGCGCCCGTACCGGACTGGGACCGGCAACGGGATCGCAGCCCTCGGCGTTGCGCCCGCACCTCGCTCAGCCAGTGAGCGGGAACCAGTCTGTATGTGGGATCCGAACCCTCAGTGGGAGCGCTGCCACGCTCCCAAGCGGCGCACTGTAGCAGTGCGCCACCGGGCCGGCCCAGAAACTGGGCTTTAAATACTGGGTTTGTCACTTAGTGTTTAGGTGAGCTGACGCTTCCTCCCCTCCCCCCACTCTACCATAATAACCAGATGCACTCACTTGTTTCTAGGTCTGTCTCCCCCTCTAGACTGTGAAGCTTGAGGCAGGTGGGACTGCATCTTTTTATGTCAGAGACCAGGGCTCATCCAGCACAGTGCTTGGTTCAAATTCTATCCTTGGGAGATAATTTACACATAATTACTTAACCTCTCTGACCTTGTTGCCTCACCTGAAGGGAGGAATGACAACAGTGGCCTGGCAAGACCTGAAGATGAAATGAGTAACCACATATATGAGATGGTGACTTCAGAGTCTGGCACAGAGTGGGCATTTGGTAATTAGTGGTTCAGCACCTCCCACCCCCCAACGTACATTAGGCTTGTGTGCTTCAGTTTGTCTCTACTAAACCGTGGCTTCTGCTTCTGCACCTAGTGCCTCACACAGGCCCGGCACAGAGCAAGTCCTGCACTCCATGGCACACCCACTCTGCCCTAGTCTCCCACTGGTCTCCTCAGGGACCAATGGAGTTCTGCAAACACTGAGGCTGGGATCTCTGACTCTCAAGGAAAACGATTTCTTGCCATTCTCAGCACAGTTTAACACCAGGCGGCGGCTCTCTCAAGTAGGAATTATCTCTGTTATAGGTACAATTCTAGTTTCTTCATAAATGCAAACTGGATCAAGTCAAAACTTTTAAATGCATACAGAATATCTACTGTGGCACAAAGGCATTCTAGATTTGGTGGAATAAAGATCCACCTTGTTGAGAAGGACCCAAGCATGAGAACAGCTATGTAACAATGAAGGAGGTAAATAAGGCCCTTGGATAGAGATGGGAGAGATGACCCAGAGCTGGGAGGTGTACCCCCTCTGTGGATCTCATCATCCCCTCCCAAAGGCACCAGGTGATCTCCCCTGCCGTTGAAGCCCTGCATCTGCTGATTAGCCCCATTATGCTTCTAGTGAGGGCACAGACAAATCTGGTCTCATTCCTTTAGTGAGGATCTACTAAGTGCATATTAAGTGCCAGCCATGGGCTAGGTGGCCTTGAGTAATCGACAGTCCAGCAGTGGAAAGAGACAGGCAACAGATCATTACCACACCATATGGCTGACAAGGATAAAGACTTTGTAACCGAAGCAAAAGAGGAGGTGCTGCACCTGGAGGAGAATAGAAAGGCTTCAGAAGGACAGCCACAAACTTCTGTGCTGGGGCATAAAGGATGGGATAAACATCTGTGTCCCACTAGGACAACGAGTGTCCACGATGTGCCAAGGAGCTTGTTGAGTGTGAAGTTCTAGAATGGGGTAGTTATCTTTATATGGTGAAGGCAAGTGGCACAAAATGCAAGCTCACTGACCAGAAAGTGGATAGTGTGATGATGGGCACAGATTTGGAGAGGGAGAGATGACTGCTGGCTAAGTAATCCTGGAAGGCTTCAGGGAAGAGGTAAGTTCTGACTGGGGCTTTGATGGGTGGGTGAGGTCTGAGAAAGGCGTAGGAGCAGTCGGGCAGAGGATGTGATCAGAGCAAGTGGCAGTTGTTCAAGTCCTTCTCCCCCGCCCTCTCCATTTTCTGAGAGCCTTCTGTGAGTGAGGGCTGGAGCAGGTTTCATGCAATTCTAGCATGAGTCCTGGATTGGGTAAGATCCTGCACCTCCCATGGATGCCTCCACAGTAGAGAGGCTCCCTCTGGGAATCTGACCACAGAGCAGCAGTCAGGAGGGATCTG